GCAGGTTTTACAATGAAACATGTTGTTTAAACAAATTTTCTCTGGGTAATTGGCTTATGCTGCTTTAAGAGAGAATTACCTTGAGTACAGCTGAAAGGTCTCTTCTTAATTTTGACATGTATACTACACTCCGAGATTTTCTTAGAGCATTTTACACTTACATAAAAAATCAACACTTCAAATTGGGATCATTTACAAATTGGGAAGGGTGTGCGTCATAGTCACACTGAAGTGAAAATTGTTACAATCAACCATTGATAGCGCTGTGTGCGCAATGAATTTTCAGCGATATTGCTAGATTTTTTTTCCCTTTTACTTTCATTTATAATTTATATTGCAGTCATTTTAGTACAACAAATCTCATCAGATGGACCTTTGAAAACTGCTACCTATTAATAGTAAGGGCTCAATAAAGCTATACAACTATTTCAATCAATGGAGCACAATCAAGCTATATAGCTAATTCAAGAGATTGTGCAAGACCTATTAGGAAATTTAAAATCAGGTCTCTCTTTTTTACCACTAACATGACTATACTATTTCATAGGTACCCATAACAATTCAATTACAAAATAGGATCGATTAAAAATACCTGTCTTTAAACAAAATCTACTATCAGACATATCAACATCCGAGAAGTCAAAAATTTCAAATAAGTGCAACTTCCAATCATTTTGATAACAGAACAAATTTTCGTCATGTGCTTATATTTAACATAATTTCAACTTTTTAGGTGTATATTCAAGAGACTTCAAGATATTCAACATCTTAAGGTCAGACGACACATTCCTCGTATATCTGTTTTGAATACCTTTGTACATGTTGTAATACCACCAAAAAAGTAACATCAGCAGTTCAAGTGATTTCTAGTATAGGATTATATTGGAAATACCATCTACAGAATCTTGCACAAATGCCTGGTAATGTATCCCAATTTCTTGTGAGGGAACTTCTTAAAGTAGCAATATTTCAATCACAAAATATTGGGAAAAGTTATATGTTTTTGAGGAACGTGTCGTCTGACCTTAATGCTTCATTACTTGTCTTGATCGAGGCCAGACTTGGTCAGATGTATAGATACATGTATAATAATAGAGAAATACACATTTGTATAAATATAACTGTAAAAAGCCCTGAAAAAACTGTTTTTCTTCTCAAATTATCAAAAATACTGTGATACTTATCAAAATTTTAATTAATGGATTTGAAAATCCAAAATGGCGTCTAAGGGGGATAATTTGCACCGACCTGAAAATCCAAGGACCACTACATCATACGGTGATTTCTTCTTTCCCTCTTCCCAATTGACAATAACTGTTTCATTAACGTCACAGTCACGATCTAACCTGTCACAAGGTGCAACCCCGACGTTTTTCTCCTTCAAAAAGTTGATAACCGCAAACTTCTTCATCTTCTTCGTCTCCCCTGTTTTCAGTACCAAATACCACGTGACTTCTTAGACCAATTAGATTGTTTCGATTGTTTCCGTCAAAAGCGAAATGTACCGAATGAAATTCAATAGATTTATTTACAAATAGTTTGTGTTGATATTATTTCTTTGTTAGCAAAAATAAAATCTTTTGTTAGATATGTGTTGCACTCAAAATAAAAGAATAAAATGACGACTTTAAGAAAACCGGAAGTGGTGGCGGAAAGATACGAGGTTACACGAAAATTTGAATTTTGAAGAAGCCAGCTGTGTTCATCAACATTGAAATTTTGCCGATTGATTTCGAAGACTTGTGTAGACTTCTAATGGTAAGTATTATGTTTTAAACAAATTATTTATATTCTTTATGTATCTTGTATATGTACTTGCATTCTTTATCGTGTTAATTGCACGATACTGTTTATACACTGTATATACGAAAAAATATTCTGTCGCGTACTAATAGCATTCATGCAAAGTATATTTGTTAGAAGTATTTAAAAGTGCAGCCGTTTATACGACTACCAAAATGAAAAAAAACTTCTTAAAAATCCCTATTAAAATGAATGAGCGGAAAGGCTTGATGGTCTACTACATATTTATATTTTACTACAAACACATGGACCAGGCAAATTTAGGAGGCAATTTCAAATTGCTGCGGGAAAGTCAACTTGTAATTATTTTAATGTTTTTGAAAAATACGAAGAAAGGGTACTATAGTTAGGATTTCTCATACTCACATTAACAAACAATTTTCTGTGTTAGATAGTATGTTGAAATGCTGCATACAAAGTCTACACTACATAGAATGTTCTATCATTAAAATGATAAATGTCCTAAGGGCCTGTCCCGAGACACAGTTAGATTATTCTAACTATGTTATTTGGTATATCATACATTCACTTCAGACTCGGTTGTTTTGGACGAGGGAATAGTCACGAGTATTGACCAAAATTTTTCGATACAATACAATTTTTTATAAAGCGATATGCAATATATTGGATTCTTTAATAAGTCTATCAAAAAAGTCTTGTAAATCTTTTAATGTATATATTTTTTAAAAACTCAGTGTTTTATAACCCACTTCTAAGTTCTTCTCTGATCATTATCATTACAAAATACACTTCAAATTCAAACTTATTAATGACTGTAAAACCAACATGTTAAAATATAGTTGTCCATGTATTTTGTAATACATGTACTTATTTGTTATGTCCTATCTCCATCATGTTTATGTAATTATTGATCAGTTTTAATTAAAAAAGGATAGATATAATCTTTGGTGATTGAAATTCCCAACTTTTTCACAGAATTATAAGAAAAACTGCCTGCCTGATACGAATTGGAAGTTATTTTTTCGTTACGATACATTCTTGAATATCGATACGTATATATATATTGATACAGCCGTAGTGCAGATCTGTTCGCCCATGGCAAACTTTGTGCGTCTCGGGAGGGGTGCACTGTTATTTCGAACACTGCATACATGTAGTATTTTTTGTAGTAACTCATAATGCAACTCATTTAATAGATGATTGGTGGGTTTGTCAGTCACATTGGTGCCTCATTTAGCATGTAAATTTATTCTTATGTCACAGAAAATAGTTTCCTCGACCTGTTAAAGGTTGTCCAATTGCCCATGACAAGAAAATTCTCAGTTTGAGCAATCAAGTGATACTGTCAACTTGTCTGATCCGGCAAGTGATTTTTTCTAATACAAATGTATGTTGTTATCTAGTTTTATTATATTGGTTTTCAACATGTTAATATCATGGTTATAAATAACAATAAATTGAACATTTAATATCCACTGGGTACGTGACTTACCGGTAGATTGTTTTTGCAATTTGAAATTTTGAATCCCATGGTAGAATTTCAATTTTATACCTTTACTTTAGAAATCATGTTAGTTATTTGGTTTCCTTTCTTGGTAAATAGTTAATACAACAACTTTGTTACCTTCTTCTGATGAAATTAATAGAATGGATATATTTCTCACACTCAGAATGTAAGTATCATGACATGTATAACCCTGATCATCATGATCATGATATGTATGTTTAGTCAAAACAGTTTAAATTGACAAGGACATGGTATATATATATGGTGAGACAGGCCTTATTATGAATATGAAATGATGTGCTATTACTACCACTGAAACACTCTAAATTAGTTTTGATATATTAGCAATTGTCCAAATGCTTCATTAAGAGTGTCGGGTTCAGAATAAGTTTAAGTCATCTGGTTGTTAGGATGACTTCATTTTTATTCGCCCGTCATAAGACGTATTATGTTATGGCGTTCATGTCTGTCTGTTAGCTTTTTCGTGTCCGGCTCATAACTTTAATACTATTAGGCCAAACTTTGTCAGCTGATACATCTTGGGTAGAATGTGTGTCGCACATTAAAAGTAGGTCTCTCTGAACTTTAATTAAAATGCTATGGCCAAATATGGAAAAATTCTGTCCGGCTCATAACTAGAAAACTATTAGACTTAGAATCATCAAACTTGGCCAATTTATGCACCTTAGGTAGAAGGTGTGTCACAACCTATTTCAAGGTCACTGTGACCTTTAATTTAAGTGAAATTTTAAAAAAAAAAAGATGTGTCTCTATTAGGGATGGGTATTGGCAAAAATTTCGTATCATGATATATCACGATTTTTTCCAAAAATATCACGATATGTAGGGCTAGCTGTCTCAATCATTTCTGTTAAAGCATCTCTGATCAAGCAGTTCTTATTTGCATCCTTTGAGAATTAGACAGAAGATCTACTTGTCAGTTTATAGCATATTTCATTTGATAGCCAGCTTTTTATTTTCAAAAATAATTTGGTGTAGATTAAATTCTTAAGACTAATTTGATATTGTTTAATATGATATTTTTATTTAATTTATTGAAAATATCAAACAAATAATATGAATGATGAGGAGGGGGGATTGCAGAATGGCATTTGTCTAGCTCTGACACAACCAGTTGAGAAATCTATGATGTAATATTTGTTATAATTAATACCTACACTACAGGAGATGTATTAACAGCAAATATTATAAGGAATGGAAAAATCATGGAAATCTTTGAATCAAGGTTGTCATGATTTTCTTGCATTCTAAACTGTTTATGAGAATTGAACAATGTTTGACGGGCGTATCATGCTGTGGCGGGGCACTTTATTTTCACTTGTCAATGAAATATTGTCTGTGGAATCATTTTAATTCTTCATGTTCTTGGGAGGTCAATGTTCTGGGCATTAATTTTCCTAAGATGCCAGCTTTCAAATGGCTTATTTGAATATTTCCTTGTTGTTGATGTTGATTTAGAATGATGACTACCTACTTGTGACATAACTGATAACAGTGATGATACAATCTTACAATTCTGTGTTGACAGAGTGATCAACAATGAAATTGTTAGACCAAAGCAAAAAAAGTTTTCATTGTTTTGTTTTTTTTTTTTTTTTTTTTTTTTTTAGGGAATAAATAAATGTAGAAAAATATTTTTAAACAGTGTTAAGGTATATAATTTCAATAAAATAACAAAGATGATGCAAAACATTTAATGGTAAAGAAAAATATCAAGACTGAAGTATTAAAATGATTTTTTTTCCATTTCAGTAGACTGAGTAAATCAAGCTTCACCATGTCGTATGATTTTTATATAGAAGAGGACAAAGATTCTGAAATGGTGTGTATTTCTTAGTTTGTTAATTAATTATTTTTAAGATGACCGTGATAGCAACAATATCATGAATACTAAGAACAAGTTTAATCTACACCTTGAAAGAAATAATTTGAATTTTTTTTTATTCATAAGGCTAAGTAGTAAAAATTTAGGCATGTATACATACATGATTTCATTCATTTTAATGGTGTGGCAGTTCATTTCAGCCAGGTCAGGATGTTGAACAGACTGTCACACTTCAATCTTTTTCACTCATTTACACCTATCTTAGGCTTGCTAAAGCCCATATTCCATCAGCCCCTCGACCCCAACTTATGTCAGATATTTTGGCCAATTCACAGAATCATCACTGTCTCAAGAACCACTGGGCCAATTTCAACCAAACTTGCCACAAAGTATCCTTGGATAACGATGATTCAAGTTTGGTCAAATGAAGGGCCAAGCCTTTTTCCAAGGGGAGATAATTAAGAATTAGTGAAAAATTATTGGCATCTTTAAGAAATCTCAAGAACCACTGGGCCAAGAAAGATGAAACTTATATGGTAAAAAATCTGAAAAATCCTCAGATAGTGTAGATTCAAATTTGTTCAAATGATGACCCCCAGGGGTAGGGTTGGGTCACAATGGATGATCTAAGTTTTACATAGGAATACAGAGGAAAAATCTTTAAAAATCTTCTTCTCCAGCACCACTGGGCCAAGAAAGATGAAACTTAAGTGCAAACATCCTCAGGTAGTGTAGATTCAATTTTGTTCAAATCATGACCCCCGAGGGTAGGGTGGAGCCTCAATGGATGACCAAAGTTTTAAATAGGAATACATAGGAAAAATCTTTAAAAATCTTCTCCTCCAGAACCACTGGACCAAGAAAGATGAAACTTGTGTGCAAACATCCTCAGATAGTGAAGATTCAAATTTGTTCAAATCATAACCCCCTGGGGTGGGGCAGGGCCACAATGGATGAACAAAATTTTACATGGAAATACATTGGAAAAATCTTCTTATCCAGAACTACTAGGCCAAGAAAGATGAAACTTATGTGGAAACATCTTCAGGTAGTGAAGATTCAAGTTAATTTTTTTAAAATCATGATCCCCCGGGTCAGGGTAGGGCTACAAAGGACAATGAAAGTTTTACATTGGAATACATAGGAAAAATCTTGAAAAAATTCTTTTCTCAAAAACAGCAAAACCTTGATTGGTTATATTTACTTGGAAGCATCCTCGGATTGTATAGATTCAAGTTTGTTCAAATCATGACTCTGGGGATAGAGTGGGGCCACAATGGATGATCAAAGATTTACACATGAATGTATACATAAAAATTATGAAAAATCTTTAACAATCTTCTTCTCAAGCAAAGCCATGATTTTTCTTTACTCTTATTTATATGCAAGCATCTTTGGTTAATGTTAATTCAAATTTGTTCATATCTTGACCCCCTGGGGTAGGGAGGGGGCACAACAGCTGATCAAAGATTTTTTAGTTAGGAATTTATAGGAAAGATCATTTAAACATCTTCTCAAAAACAACAAAACCATAATAAGTCATTTTGATATAATTTAATATTGGATGTAGCACATCATTTGGATAAAAAAAAATTATTTTTTTTTGAAGCTTTCAATTTATATTTCATGGATCCTCTATGGATTGTTGTTTTATAATCAAGTGACCGTTAAGGCCCTTGGGCCTCTTGTCAGTTTCTTACGTATTGGATAGTAATAATTGTATGATTAAATACTGTAATAAAAAATATACTGATTATATTGTAGCTTCCCATCAGTGGAGATGACGAAGATGCAGTTGAAAGAGATGAAGACTTGCTGTACTTGGCAACTGACCACCAAGAGGAGGTACATTTAGTTAAAAATTTGATTTGTAGTGAGCCAAAAGCTCATATGAGGGTTTCTGATCAAAGGACAAGGTATTGTAACAGCTGAATCTGGCCTCTGATTTGATGTAAAAATCAGAACAGAGTTGAAATTGTGATATTGTGTAGTTAAGAATTTAAAATGATGCTTGTTTTAAAACCAGCACTAATTTTGATTCAAAGCTTACACGGAGGCTACAAGAGGGTGCAGAAGTAGGACATTTTCCTGAATTTCCTCAATTCTTGTGGAATTTCATCAAATTTGAGATACTTTTCACTTTGGGAAACATAGAGCACAAGCTTGCCTATCTAAGATTTTTATATATAACATGTATAAGGTGCATCTGATACTAGTGTATGAAATATATAAATTTGGTAGATAGGCAAGCTTGTGCTATATGTTTTCTGAAACAAATTATGCTGCAAAATCAATGAAAATTTGCGTAAAAATGAGAAAATTCGGAAATTGACATATTTTCTGACCTTCCTGTGACCTCTGTGTATCCCATAACTTAGATCCAATACTCATTTTGTGGCAGGGGTAACAACAGGTTTCTGTTGATAAACTGTTGCATCATTCTGAAAGACACCCAGAACCAGGGGCCAAAAAGGGGTCATAGCCTATCTTGTCCTTTGTCTGTTGTCTGTCATCTTTAGCATCATCTTAAATTTATCACAATTTCATCTTCTACTCCAGAACAACTGGGCCCATTGCAACCAAAAAATTCTTGGGTAAAGGGAATTCCAGTTTGTTCAAATAAAGGCCCATGCCCTCATTGATGGAGAGATAATAAAGAATGAGAATAAATTAAATTGCATCTTTTCAAGAACCAGTGGGCCAGAAAAGATGAACCTCATGTGAAAGCTTCATTACATTTGTACATAGTGTAGATTCAAGTTTGTTGAAATCATTACCCCCAGGAGTATGATGAGGCAACAAGGGGGATTAAAGTTCTAAAAAGGAAAATATATAGAAAAGATTTAGGCCATCATTAAAAATATTTGTTTCCCCTAACCCAACCCAAAAATCTAAGTTGGGTAGGTAGGTAGGCAAACATTTTTGTTTTGTTTTGTTTTGACAGCAGCTTTGAATATACATTCTTAAAATTAAATGGAATGATACCTTTATAAATAAGTTAAATACAAAAGAAAGCAATTTGTAAACAGCTAGAATACCATACAACCCATGAATGAAAGGGATGAAGAAAGAATGTTTGAATTCTATTCATGAAGATGAAATATGCAGACTTATTTACAACTCTTATGGTGCCATATACATGTAGTAAACATAGAAATATTGATGAAGTGTTTATAATATCAAAACTCAAAATAAATAAAAAGCAGTGAAATTGATTGGTTTGTTCACAAGGTGGGCCCCATGTCTGCTCATGAGGGGTATCATGAGGAGGGTCTACAGGCCTAAGCATACTCTCTATGTACTTAATTTTAAAACAGATTGGTAAATACAACCGATCACGTTTAATAGGTCATTTTATATTTTATTTTATTAACAAAGTGTTTCAAGAGTGTAGGATTCTTATATGCTAAAGACATAAGGGTGATATGTCTTCTTTCTTTTAAAACATGAACTAACCCTCCGTAACGAGACATGTTCAAATGTTAACACACGATAGACGACGTATGATGACAGACAAAAACCGATTATAGCAATTGGTCACCTGTGTGACTCAGGTGACTTAAAAGTTCAAAAGTGGTGCAGTTCATTGAGTTCAAAAACATTATATCTGACTAACTTGAATCTACTTGAGAGTAAATTTTTTTAAAATAAATATCTTGTCATAATCATTCATGTTGATTTTGTTTAATTTTTTAAATTAAGTATTACAATTCAATCTTTCAGGAGATTGATTTCTTTGATTCTGACCACATTGATGATGTACGAGAAGATTCCTTTTACTTTGATGCTGATGATGGTGAAGAATTTTACTTGGAAGACACTGAAATGGATAATGAAGATGAAGTACATTTTATTTTAAATTGCCAACCCAATAACATACACATGTTTGTGGCCTTTTTGAAGCTCAAATTAGACAGTAATTGGAAACCCTCTTAGACTCTTACTGTCAGTGGAACTAGGGAATTATGGTGAAAAACTTATAATCAGCACATTTTTGAACAAGCTAGACCAGTCGGATTAGTACTTGAAATTTTACTAGACCTGACTTAAATTTGATTAAACAAGAAAAGACACAACAATCAAATCAACTGTTTAGAAACCCTAAAATTTTAATGTTTGTATGACAACCTTGACACAAAACAGACTAGACTGGACCAAACTTTTACTATTCTGATTAGGTCAGATGTGCATTTAAGTTAATGTTGAGTCCTGTTAAGGGGGCATGACTGAAAATGCTTAGTCAGCAAGAAGTCATGGAGGTAAAAGTAGTTTTGAAAACTATTGGATGCAATCAAGAAAAAAAAATGTTCTTATGTGTAGTAGATCATTGTCTCCTCGGATATTTTCAATCATGTCAATACTTTAAAGAAAGAAAATTAACGAGTGTCAAGTGAAGGATTTTGTTAAGTTGTTCTTAGAATTTGAATTCTATGAATTTTAAAATACTGTTGGTGTTTAACATTATTACGAAAGATTAACTACATGGATAAAGTGTATTGTCTGATTGAACTATTTGTAATTTTTTTAATAAAAGTTGACGTGAAATAGAGGGTCATTTACATGTATCTACAACACTAATATTTACTCTTTTTATTTTTAATTAACTTTAAACTGGTAGCTAGGTACAAGTTAACAAAAAAATATTCAAAGAAAATGTTGCATGATTCGCATTGTAAGTGATGGAGAGACTTGCAGCAAACCAGATTGATCAATTCATAGCAAATTCAGAGATATGAAACAATTAGGGCTTTGGATTTTTAAGTAATGAGTGGCTTTCATGATTAAATGTGTTGCTTGGGGGGGGGGGGGTGATAATAAGTATTGTTAATTTTCCCAATTTGACAAAAATGTCGAGGATTTTTCCCAATTGAGAGGAACACAGTCCCTGTACCAAAAAGTGCTGTGACAGCCCTGAATATGCCCCCTGCATGTATCATACTGTCCAGATCATATTCAATAAGTTGTTTTCATTTGAAAACAAGGAGTCTAAAATATGGCCTCACATAAGCATCAAATGATGTCACAATGTAAACAATTATTATGGAATGGTTTGCTTAACTCAGAGAAAATGAACTTTATTAAAAAAATCTTCCACAGGATAAATTCGCTTATGCCTTGCCCATAATTTTCACTGTTATTTAAAATTTTCTGAAAAGATTGTAATGAAAAATTGTTTGAAAAGTGGGAAAACATCATTCAACCTGTTCAATTGAAATTTGCTTCACTAAAAATTCCTAAACAATACCAGTACTGAAAGGGAAAAAAAACACAACACTGGGAATTTATCCATAATTTCAATTCTTTCAAAAATACTTATAGCTTACAAAGTAACAATTGGATTTGAAATAAATAAAATGTAAATGTTTGGACCTTTATTTATATTGAAAAAAACATGATGTGGAATATTTAAAAAAGAAAAAAACAAAAGAGAACAGGAAAACTTTTCTGAAAAAAGTTCTGGCTTCGAGTATGAAGAAATTCTGATTTTTCTCAGATATAAATTTCCATCTAGCCTTTTACATTTCAAAATTTGAGATTGTGTAGTGACATTTTTTAAGTTTTACACACCACACAGTCTGAATAAATAGAATTGTTTTAAGAAGAGGCACTGTATTTAATGCTGATCTCAAATGAAATTTTTCTAATCACATTTTTCACAATATTGAACAGCAAATTATGGATAACTAAACAATAATATTTTTCTTTACAATAGCAGTAGGAAAAGACTTTCTTTGTTTCTTTCTATTTTGAAATGGAAAGAAGTTGTAAAGGGTGATAACTCTGAAAGGTCATTAATAGTACATAATGTATGAAGTCATGCGAGAAAATTAATTTAATTTTTTTCTTTAGGATGAAAGATACTGGGATGAGAAAGTCCACAACGACTCCACAGTCACCAGGGCACAAAGTCTACTGATGTATATTTTGTTCACCCTGACACACAGACTAACAAAAGTTGCCAGTGCTGACCTTCTGGAACTCATAAACCTTCACATTCCTAATCTTTTCCCAAGATCCAATTACTTCATCGAGAAGTTTTTCAATGTTGCAGATCACATGGACACCATTGAAAAACATTTTGTTTGTGAACAGTGCCAAGGATATATGGGCAAGGAGATTGTTCCAATATGTGTGTATTGTGGCTGGGAGAACAGAGAAAATGAAACAACAGCAAATTTCTTCCTGGTTATGCCATTGCATTCCCAAATAGAAAACTATTTAAAGGTGAATGGACTGCCAAAACAAAACAGAACAGCTGATTGAAAATGGGACCATTGGAGAGCATGACATTAGTTTTCAATGGAATTGTGATGGGATGCCTGTTTTTAAATCTTCTGGATATTCCATTTGGCCGATTCAACTCATGTTGAATGAATGTTCCCCATCAGAGAGGAAAAAGAATGTCATTTTAGCGGCTCTGTGGTTTGGTAATGGCAAGCCGAGAATGGACAGTTATCTCACACCATTTGTTGAGATGTGCAACAAGCTTAGTAAGCAGGGAGTTACCTGGACAGACTCTATTGGAAGGAAGCTGTGCACAAAGGTACACACCCTTATCTGCAGCAGTGATGCAGTGGCAAGGCCAGCTTTGAGGAACGCGAAACAGTTTAATGGGCAGTTTGGGTGTGATTGGTGCTTAAATCCGGGAGAAGTTGTAAGTAAAGGAGATGGACATGTTAGAGCATATCCTTCTGATCCATACAGAGAGAGGACCCATGCATCAGTGCTTGAAGATGGACTCTTAGCCTGTACAACATCTCGTGTGATTAATGGAATTAAAGGACTAAGTCCATTATGCTTGCTGAGTGTGTTCAATATGGTTGCAGGCTTTGTGCCAGACTACTTGCATAATGTATGCCAGGGTGTGACACGTCAGTTTACAAGCCTTTGGTTAGACACCCATAATAAAGGGAAGCCATTTTATATTGGACGACAGTGGGAGGAACTGGATAGGAAGCTGTTAAAATTAAAGCCCCCCTTTGAAATCACACGCCGACCACGCTCTCTTTCCACCCGGCGATTTTGGAAAGCATCGGAATGGAGAGCTTTCCTTATTTTCTATGCACTTATTATTCTAAGAGGCATTCTTCCGCAACAGTACGTCAACCATTTCTTCCTGTTGGTGTTTGCTATATACACGCTGCTACAGTCATCTGTAACATTGGACGAAGTTGACTGTGCTGAGAGGGCTCTCAGAAAGTTTGTACAGCAAGTTGGAGAACTGTATGGAACTGAACACATGAGTTTTAATGTTCATCAGCTGTTGCACGTTGCCCAGAGTGTGCGAAATTGGGGTCCAATATGGGGTACCTCTACATTTCCTTTTGAGAGCAATGGAGGAAATTTATTGACAATGTTCAACGGCACCCAACATGTATCCACGCAGATATGTAAATCTTTGATTTTGTTTCAGGAAGCAAAGAGACTTTCCTTATTCCATTTGTTAAAAGCATCTGACTCTGTTAAATTTTTTTGTGAAAAGTTAAAAGGTAAAAAACATCACAAATCTTACATCAGAATCAGTAAGGAGCTTCTTGGGGTTGGCAAGAATGTTTACCGAGCTTTGTCGGTTTTTGAACAACTAGCATTAGAGAATCGCTTGAACATTAATTTGGAAAGTCCATGTGCTGTATTTTTTGACAGATTCTTGTTTAAAGACAATTTGATTTATTCTCAGTCTTACTCAAAGAGTGATGGAAAATCAATTATGTAATCAAAACTCTGTCTGGTGATTTTTACATTGTTGAGAAATTGATGTTATTTAATGAAGAATGTCAACATGTCTCTTATGAATGTGGATGTAAAACACCTTACATTGTTGGGAAAAAACTTGAAAAACAAAATGATCTGTTGTTTAGTGACACCGATGTTGGTGCTTCATCTTTTTTCATAACAAGAGTCAAAGAAACTCAAGCTAGAGTTGTCATTGATATTGAGGACTTTTACTCAAAGTGTCTGTTATTGGTCAGTGGTCTTGTGAAATTTGTTGTGTGTTTGCCAAACCATTATGAATGGGATTGAACATTTTTTTCATTAAATATATATGCATATAAATGTGTCAGTACTGTTATGGAACCTAGTTGAAATTACCATGAAAAAACTGAAATATGAATTGTATTCAAGTTTGCTTTATGAACTCATCACCAAAGTTTTCTGACAGCGTGCAGGTGTAAACAGTATGTGCTAGTGTAAAAAATGTCTTTGTTCCAACTTGTATGTTGAATTGTTTTTTCTCAACAAAAATTAGTACTTCCTCTAGCTGATATTAGGTTGTATATACATGGTATACATTTGAAACAAATAATTGAAAACATGTTAGAATAAATATATGATTTTGTACTGAATAAAATGTATATGAATGCATTTAACTCTTGTTTTTATCTTGCAAGTGATTAAATATATAAAATGTAACAGTGACCAGAATACTGTTGCACTGTGATTACCAAGGTAATTCAAAACAAAAATTAGGTAGAATCAATATTGGTATTTGCATGAATTTTATTCTGCATAAGGAAATTTCGCATTAAATTGTAAATTTGTAATAAACTTTAAGAATCAGAAATGAGGATTTTTAACTACAAAAAAAGATGATGTACAATTCTTTTCACATAGGTAATTCTTTAAGATTTATGATTTGGAGGAAAAAAATGACAACATTTAATTTCATTTGTATGTAAGGATTTTATATTTAAAAAGGGGGGTTGGCTGATATAATTACTTTGAGTTGTTTTATAGGCATGTATTATATAGACCCAGTATCATTTTGAAATGCACACCAGAAAAGATATAATACTTCTAGCTAATATACAGAACTTTGTATACTAGTCCATATAAAATACCTTAATTAAAAACGATATATTATAACTGCTGAGTAATTTAAATCCGCAATTTTCAATAGTTTTGAGAGAATTCAATTCGCAAAAATCCGATGTGCACGGAATTGGTTTTATATATTTCAATGTGCTGATTCATATCCTATTTAGTATTTGTCGTTCGAAGAAAGCATGGGGATACAATATAATAAGCATTTAAGGAAATAACAGCTAGTTGGTACTTTTAACTTTGAGTGGTTTAATTTCCTATATGATCATATTTATGTTTGAGTATTGTATAAGCCATACAGTCTTGTTTGATTCCGAATTCTACTGCTTTTTGGTAAACAAATTTTATGTAATTTTCAACTTGTTCAATTTCGCCACTTTTACTTATCATGAAGTTATTGGAAGCTGTTCTATAAACTGTACAAAAAAAAAAAAAAGGAACATTTAAGAAGAATATTCTGTCTGGGACATATAATCACTTATCGCCATTATTGCGTATTCTAAGTGTTCGGGATACAATTATTCATAGAAACTTCAATGACTGTTACATGTAATACCCTTTTGAAAAACAAAGGAGAAAAAATTCATTTTAACGATAAGGTTGTCTGTCCAACACATAACAACATTAATTCAACAGTATTTATTTATAACACTGATGTAGTGTAAGTTTCATTGTTATGGAGAAAGAGAATATAAAATAAATTTTGAGTCATTTAGAACTAAAATACCTGCTCCATTCACTTCACTGATTTGTATCTTATGATATTATAAATAAATATATTTTATTTGTATTAGCTAAAGTAGTAAATTTAAATTAAGATACAAAAAAAAAAAAATACCACAATACACTTATTTATTGAAATGTCCCATTCCATGGAACTTTACTAACCTACTGTTAGAAATATATATCACTGTTATATAAAATCAATTGAAATCAAGTAAAAGCCTTGATTAACTTTAATGAAAACTTCGATACTTTAATGCATCATAGAGAAAACATTGAAACTTTGATTAACTATAGTGAAAACTTTGAAACTTTGATTTACTGTAGTGAAAACTTTGAAACTTTGATTTACTATGACGAAAACTTTGAAACTTTGATTTACTATGGCGAAAACTTTGGAACTTTGATTTACTATGACGAAAACTTTGGAACTTTGATTTACTATAGTGAAAACTTTGAAACTTTGATTTACTATGGCGAAAACTTTGGAACTTTGATTTACTATGGCGAAAACTTTGGAACTTTGATTTACTATAGTGAAAACTTTGAAACTTTGATTTACTATGGCGAAAACTTTGGAACTTTGATTTACTATAGTGAAAACTTTGGAACTTTGATTTACTATAGTGAAAACTTTGAAACTTTGATTTACTATGGCGAAAACTTTGGAACTTTGATTTACTATAGTGAAAACTTTGGAACTTTGATTTACTATAGTGAAAACTTTGAAACTTTGATTTACTATGGCGAAAACTTTGGAACTTTGATTTACTATGGCGAAAACTTTGGAACTTTGATTTACTATAGTAAACTATAGTTAACTATAGTTAACTATAGTTTACTATAGTATTTTTTTGTTAGGGTAGATTCGACGACAATGTGTCGGCGTTTAAAGTTACGCTGTACTCTTTTCTGTAAAGAATAAGCGTCCGTGTTGGACAAAAATTGCTTGACGGCACGAAGACCAATTTTATATTTGCCTTTGCTTTTAACAACCTGGTACAATTGATTAGGACCCCCGAAAGCCGCAGGATGCCCGACATTTGTCCATATTTTCTCCAGATAATGCTGTTTATCCTTTGACAGCATCTTGCTCAATGAAGACACGACTAAACATGTCTGCTTTTTTAAAGGTTTTATTCAGATACATTCATAAATCTTTGCAAAATGACGATAACATAGATTCACATGACCAAAATATATACAGTTTTTTTTTAGTTTCAGTCATCGCATAGTCAAACATAATTCATCCACTCGTTAGGGTTGCACCTTTTACAAGTGTAAAAGCCCATCTGATTTTGATGATCTGGTGACATTTCACAGTACTCTACTACTGACAGTTCTTTCTCAAAAGTCCGTTGAACGGTCGGTATTGCCTTTTTTAACTCCTGCCACTGGTTTAGGTTTAAAGCACACCCCTTTCTGGTGGCCCTTAACTCCGTTTCGCCTTCTGGCAGAAAAAAAATGCCTCAGGTTAACACAAGGGTATTTTGAATTCAGACAAAGATACACATTCTCTCCCAAGTGTTTTTTGTAGGACACTTCTTGTCCAGTCTTCATTTTTTCAATTCCTGCGTTGACGTCCTCTAAACATAATTCCACGATTTTCTTCTACTTTTCCAGATCTAAGGCGATGCCTTTCTTTGTTGGAAAAGGTCTGCCATCATTGACACATTGGTAAAATCGAATGTGTATCAATAAAGATCCGTTGAATTCTT